TTAGCCTGAATTTCACATCTTTTTAAAGGTCCAATTATGTGTTGTGAGTACAGTCAATTTAAAAATAAATCTGTCATTGGCCCATTTTCCTTCTAGGCAGATCAATCAGGCAGCACAACTAACCTACTCTCCAAAAAGTCCTCTAACCTGGTGGAACAAGTATTTAACTCGTCCCTGTTCCGCCACAAAGACAGCAGTCTGACCGGTGGGCTTACCTCCGGGAAGATCCTGGACCCCAGATTGTCTGAGGGGAGGGGAAGGCCCATATGGACTGTAGACGACAGAGAAGCGCGAATCTCTCCTTTGGACCTACAGGTATGACTTGTGACTTTGAAAGGGCTACATTATTTTAAAAACACTGAATTAGGTTTTGTTTTCTAGCATGTCTTTTATACAGAGTCAGTGGTTCTAGTCTATAAATGACTAAATGGGATGTGTTGTCTGGATTGTTTTAGTACAATATACTTTTCATGATTACATCATGCCGGCCTAAGAAAAGTGGGGGTAGTAAAATTGAATTTTTTGTCATAAAATAGCACATCATGGTGATTATAGTGATGCACAGCAGGAAATAGTTTACAATATTTAAATTTCCTTTTAAATATGTTTAACTTTCTACTCTGAAAATCTTTAAATGGCATCATGTTCCTCAGACCCAGGAGTCTTTAAATCCCAACAACATGGAGTTCTGGATGGATGACATCTACACTCCAGGCTACGATGCTCTGCTCAGGCGTAAAGAGGCTGATCTCCGCCGGGCCAAGGTCTGCAAGCTGCTTGCGCTCATTGCCACTGCAGTGGTGATCATTCTCATCATCGTCATTCCCATATGTACCATGGGGTCGTGAAGACTCTTACAGGAAGCCCACTTTGTTGCCTGTTTTCTTTTATTTATCTATTTTCAGCAGCTATGTGCTGCACAAAGGAACTTGCACACCATTCCCATGGAGATAAGTAGATGAAAGACTGTGACGCTAGGACCATAAAGCTGGATTGCCAAACAGTTAACATTCAGTAACTCCTTACACATCTCTGCATGCAGCACTGTTATTTATGACATCGTCAAAACAGGAGGATTCACACTGGAGCTTACTTTGAACTCACTCCCTTATGCAGTGACAACAAATTGTAAGTAATCTTGTTAATCTTTCCTCCAAGGGCATAGGTTTCATTTTGACATTAAGGGGCAGGGGCATCCATATGACACTGGGGGTTTGGGAGTCCTCTGCCAGAAATTTTTGAGCATAAACCACATTATTTCTTGCTTTTTGGTGAATTTTTTTATACACCAATTTGTGCATTTCCTCCCCAATTTGTGGTGCAAAATCTTTAATTTTGTAAAGTATGATTACTCTGCTCCCTTTATGTTTTTTTTTTTTCTAAATATAGAGCAGGATGTGTCCCCTGCATCTCCTTGAAACCTATGCCTCTTCTTTCTCCCATTTACTGTCATTTATTTCACGATTTTTGGACCTAATAATTTCAGGTGACTGTAAAAGGAAGTAAATAAGGATGAAAGTTTTAAGTAGTTTTGAAATATCTCTGAGAGCATATGTCTTAACTAGTAATACTGAGCCAATCTCTCTTATTTTGCCTGCTCTTTTCTGTGAAACAACACTGTTACAAATGCATTATGTATCAGCTTCTGCCTTGAGCACTGCCTGACTCGTTCTTGCTGTTTCCCTGAGAACACCACAGGGCTTATTTCACTTCTGTGTAAGATAATAGTTTTATCAGTACATAAGAGTTTTACACCTACAGTTCATTATGGATTCTGTCGACAGGAGCGTTTTTACTTTCTTTTAGTGTGTATGTTCTTGTCCGTTCTTTAAGCAACAAGATATACTGCTCCAACAGACTTAAATAAATAAAAATAATATTTTTCTAGAGATCCCTCCCATTTTTCAAACTGGAGACTATAAGACTTTTAATCCACTCATGGATGTGTTTGGGTTGGAGTGTTTACCAAGTGTCAGGTTTCAAGAATCTTGTTGTTGTTGTTGATGCAGTGAAGGAAGGATGGAGCTTTTTCCCGTAAACACTTTCTGAGTGGGAGATTCCACTTGTAATTCAATTGATAGGATGTTTGGAGTGCACCTATGCACATTATCTTTTCACTAGACTCACTCGGCCAGAGCTTTTCCACATACCTGCAGACTCACTTAGCACCAACAGTTTCATCTGCAGTCCTTTTACGGATGATGAAAGTAGTCTTGCCAGTGGTGTGACATTCCATTTTGTAAGAACATCCTGTTAACTCAGGAGACATTATATTTAAATCGACTTTTGGTGCCAGCTTGTAAAGTCTATGTGGGGCTGACACAAAAACATGCACTCTTTAAAAATATAATGAAATTCAACATAAGCTGCAATATAACCTTCCTGTGTGAAGCTTGCAATGTTTGATTTAAGTTGAGACTGGTGTTGATTGAACTCTAAGTTAAGGCTGTAACCTATTACAACAACATCAGTAACCAAGTAGTGAAATTTAACTCTTGACACTATCTCAAAACTTGCATTTATTGCAGGGCTATTGTTCTGGATTGAATTATATTTACTAGGTGTTCATGTTTTTTTGTCCCCTCTCTACATTGCTATAAATGGGTGGTTTTGTTTCTGTTCAACAATGGAAAAGCACTTTTCTCCCTTTAAATACCAAAGTGGCAGAAACTATCCACGTCGTTGGGAAAAAAAACACTATATCAAAATGTTTGTTTTCTTTATCTGTATCCGGACCTTTAAACTTCACTTTACTTTGTGTGCACAAATATGCACAGGATGTATAGAGGGTGTGTTCTGCTCCAAAGCATCCTCCTAAGTAGATGTATATCTGCCAAGTGTTCCCCCCTGAGGCTGTTTGTGGATCCATTACCCTTCAAATGGTGCCACTGACGAGGCCTAACCCTGTAGTCAGCACAATCTGCAGGTGCTTCGTCTGAAACTCTGGTGCATTACAGCCTCCTGACGCTCTTTTCACTCCTGAGATGCGCTTATGAAATTTGGAACTTGTTGTATTATCCATGCACCTTTTAGACAGACGAAAAATCTGTGAAGTCATTATTCAGGTAAACACTTTGTCTTAAGAACTGCTTGTAAATGAAAGAAAATATATGCAGGTATTACAGTTACTGGTGTGCAATGCTTTATATTATTGTGGGGGTTGACTTATGTTTCCTGTCTGAATAAACTCGGCAAAGTGGTAACGTGCCTTTTACAATATGTTGTCTGATCTGATAAATAATATATTTGCACCATGCTATAAACATACAGTTAAAAATATTGAGGTGAATGAAAAAATTGAAGACTGAAGGCAACTGCTTTGTTTTGCAAAATGAACTATGTCCCTTTAATATTCTCTTAGTGATGCACTCGGCTGATTCCAGATTATAAATTAATGCAGATTACAGTGATAGTTCACTCAGTTTAAGGAAGGGCAGACAGTGATTGGTGTAAAAGGAGAATTCTGGCAGTTCAATGAACTGTGACTGGAGGAAATGTACATATAGAGATGAATAATTGACTAAGACAGAGGTCTCATATTGACTGACAGATTCTATTATCTCAAATCACCTCTAATGGACCTGAAGAACACACACACACACACACACACACACACACACACAGACACACACACAATGTTCTGGAGACAAGTGTGATGCTAAATCAGACTGCCAATGTGTTATAAAAAAACACACAAGCACACACAAATCAGATTTAGTCTATTGTTGAGTTGTTTAAAAATGAATGATGTGTTATGGACACATACATGTAAATTGTTTGCAACTGATTTAGTGTGTGTGTGTGTGTGTGTGTGTGTGTATACCCTCATTAAATGTTGCACAGTAGAGCTGCTGCTGCACCCAGATATGCCATCCGTGGCTGATTAATGATGCTGCTGTGTGCATCCCATGTGCCAGGCCCACAGCAACAGGACACAGTTACTGACTGTTACAAAGGATTTTATGATTTCACACATAATTTCACCACACTGAATTAAGTATTTTGATACACAGTCAGGAAAGCAGGAGGCACACACCTCAAGCAGAACTAGCTCATTTTTATTTCTTGTGCAAACAATGGCTTATATATCAAAGTTATTGAAATTACTGATGGGGTTACCAGGTGCAGTTGATATGTAGATATTTCAAAGAAAGTGACCTCAAGCACAGATCTCATTTTGAAACACCCTGGAGACCCTAAAAGCTACACACACAGCCTGATTTGACACAGATTTTAAGCCAGAGATCCCTATCTAAAAAAATGTTTCTGTATACAGTAGATGAAGAGATACACTGGGTCATTATGAGCAAAATCATGTATTATGTATGCATCCTGTGTCTTGCTGTAATGCATGGAGGACATCAGAAGTCTTGATGTGCAATTCAATAATAATAATAATGAATTGGACGATAGAAAGAGAAAAAACCTTTACAAATGAATATGTTATGTAAACAAATCCATATTTAATTCAACAAGGACTGGGGTTCATGAATTGATAATGAATTGGACAATATAAAGAGAGATTCATATTATTTATTCATTTATTTATACAGTTGAATATGTTAACAGAACCAGTGGGTCAAATTCAAAAGAAATGTGTGTATGCATGATGACATACAATTGATATTTATATTTCTGTAAGATAGACATACTCATAGACTAAGTAACATATTGGTTTGGTATGATACAACTAAATTTCAATGAATGCTGCTTGCTAAAGGTATTTCTAAGACTCCTGGGGAAATATGTTATAATGATAGATGATGCCATATAATAAATGTATTTTGAATATTACAAATATAACATATTTTCTCATAGGTCAACCTCCCTTAGTGAAATATGCTGAGACACCTAATAACCCCCTGTTTTGGGAACCTAATGACATTTGTCTCCACAACCCCCTGCAGTTACACCTCTGTATCTGTGGGGGCGATAGAGCGCTCTGAGCTCCGCCAAAGCAGCCGACGAAGAAGAAAACCGGCGCTGATTTTGAAGTTTGAAGAAGAATGTGCAAACTTTATCAGGCAGGTGTGGCTCTGCTGTGGCTGCTGTGGGAATAAACCCTCTAACCTCTGCTTTTAACATTGGACGTTGTTACATTACATGTCAGCCACACTGTCACAGGACACACATTGCACAGGTAAGTGTTTTGTTTTTTCCTTTGACCGGCGTAACGATAGTTAGCTAAGTAAACACCAGCTTGCTAATGATAATGTTAGCATGCCGATAGCGTCACCTCGGGCGCAGTAACGTTCAACCTGGAGCAACAATAATTTAGCTAACAAGTTTGAGAGGTTTGTTTTGGATACAGTGGGGATAAAATCATGGCGGAGGCAAGACGTTAACATTAAAATGAACTCTGTTGTTTGTCTTAAGCACTATAGCTAATGTAGGTTTGTTTCATTTCACATGTTTGAATGTTGAGCCACTGACATAAATGTGTAGTGTCAGTAACGGGCTAATTCAGCACTGACAACAATATAAGACGTCAACAAGATATATGAGGTGAATATGAATTAGCGTTGTCTTCCAGCTCTCTCATTTCTCCCTACTAATGTGAGCAGCTGCAGTAGGACACGATGGAGTCGTCAGTGGTGAACCTGTACAACCAGTTCCAGAGTCTGAGGGCCCAGATGGACTGTCTGAATGAGGGCATTGAACCACGTAAGTTATTTCCACACTGTGTTTTGGTATGTGCCACCTCTTTACAAGGCTGTGACACACAATGGAGTTTAAGTGCTTGTGTAGCGTTCATGAAGTTAAGCTGATCTGCTATGGCATGGTGCTAATGTCAGTAGCAGTAATCCTGGGTGCATTGCCATCCTAAAATGTGTTAGGTGTTGGAATACATTCTTTGCCACAGACTGTGAATGCTAAACTGAATATAGAGCCTTTGCTTCAGGAAGTAAAAGCTGATAGGGCCACAACTGCAGACATGCTGTGCAAACTGATGGTGCAGCCCATGACAAAAAGGGGGGTTAAAACAGCTATTGGGGTGAGGTAAAAATTTCCATTTCAATAGTCCAGACAATGCAGGCCATTTCCGTTTTAACTAACAGGAAAGCACTGTCACTCATTTGTTCACTTTACAGCAGAGGAGCACTTTGACTTTTTGTCTTTAAGGTAATGTGTAATAGTATATTGTACCCAGCAGCAATACAGCAATCTATTTTTCCACTGTCTTTTTCAGAGTTCCTTCAGATGGCACTGAACTTTGAGGAGTGCCGTAAGAAGTGGCTGCGGACAGATGACGAGCTGGTTTCCTGTAAAGAGGTGCTGGCTAAAGCAGAGACTGAAAGGGGAGCCCTAGAGGTCAAACTAAAGCATGCTCGCAACCAGGTGGATGTGGAGATCCGCCGTCGACAGAAGGCTGAGGCAGTCTATGAGAAGCTGGTTGGTTCAACAGTGTTTATAGGTCTTGTGTGTTACCACAGTTGCTTATGGAATAAATAGGAAATTAGAAGAAAGAACAATCTATATGTTTACCTTCAGATAATGCCATTTGTCACTGCACTTGGTAAAGCTCATCTTATCAGTCACTACTTGTTAATATTTTTGGTCTAACTGATGATTGTTCATTATTATAATAATGCACGTTCTGCATTTTTCTGTGTTTTATTTACGGAACTGTCTCTGTCAACCCGCTCGTTTGTGGTTGTAACAGGAACGTCAGCTGCAGCTGATCCGGGAGCTGCTGATATCAGAGAGCAACAGTAATAGTATTCACCTGAGTGAGGAGCAGCGCTCCGCCCTGGCCTTCCTCAGTGCCCACTCCCAGGCAGCACAGGCTGCTAAGGGCAACCTCAACTCCAGTCGAAGGTCAGATCCTTCTTGTCTGGTTCTCAAACAGCTCAACGTGCACCATTTTTTTTTTAGAGAGTAATACAGTAATTATGATTTTAGGCATTTATCTGACCACGCTGCCTCATCTTTCTAGGGCTGTCACTTATATTAAGGGTACTGTTGCACTTTATTTAGCTAGTCAACACACTGTCTGCTATTAAAGAGGTGCAACGTGTACAATGTAGGGAATTCAATATGTAAAATGTAAACGTTGTGTCATTTGCCAGCTGGCCATTAACACGAGAAGTACTTCAGACCTTAAGGTTACATGCTGACTTTAATCTATTTTACAGGTTAACTACCATCGATGAATCGGCTTCTTTGCTGTCAGACATCAGCTATGACCAAACAGATGACTCTCTGGTATGTTGACACATTTTCTTAAAAAGCGTCATTGTAAATTTTTGGAATAACTGCTGACTTGGAGATTGGATAGTGGGACAACAGTATTTGTTAAGTTCATTAGGTGCTAGGGTCTATCTCTCCACTTTACCTGTAGGACTGGGATTCCTCTGCAGTGAAGACTGTGAGACTGCGGAAACGCCCAAAACGAGTGAGTCGTGTCTTCAATCGTATTTTCAATAGATGCCTTCTTGTGTGCGTTAATGATAAAATAATCTTGACATTTTTTCAAAGAGGCAGTTAGTGGCTTGATTCATGTGTTTCTTTGCATCAACACAACTTTGTCTTGCCATATGGTGTACAGTTTTCAGTAGCCAATCCATAAAGCAAGTGATTTTAAAAGTTATTGTACATTCTAACCCACAGCGTTCCTCCAGGAAACTCTCTGAGATTCCTCCACAGGCAATGAAGAAACCACGCTCCACTGGGCGTGCATCAGATAGGGTAATGCTGACCTCTGCTGCTGAATGTACTTTATAACACTGAAATAGTTTGTCTGTAAAAACTTTGGGAGATTAAATTTATTTTATTTTACACAGCAGACAAATAAAATGGTGAAGAGATTTCTTTTAATGTTCATCAGTTTGTTTAAAAAGAACATTTATTTATTTTTTCTTTATTTCTGATTCAGATGAATGAGTCCATAGTGGCCAAAACCACCATCACCCTGCCGGTGAATGGAGGTGCTGTTGAGGCTGTCTCCACCATTGAAACTGTGCCTTACTGGACACGCAGCAGAAAGAGCGGTGAGAACTTTGTGTCATTCCTCTTTAAGGGTCCACACAACAACAAAAAAACAATAACATTAAGACTATAATCAATGCATGATTAAAAAAGTCATTTTGTCAAATTAGTTTCTTCACTGATTTTGGGAATTCACCACCATGTGATTACGTCTATAGTCGCTCCAGCATGGGCTGATACAACCACTACAGACCAATCTGAGACCGCCAGTGAGGCTCCCAGCACACCAGTATCAGATTTCCCAGCCAAGCGCCGAACTGTCAGAGCTGACAAAGGAGGAAAGAAGCACCACTTCATCCCCAAAACAGTAAGACTCTGTACCTATTGATGTGAGAGTTAAGTGTTTCGGATTTGGACTGTAAATCTATCTACTGGCATCGACACTACAAGCTGGTTCACCTTGTTTAAATACTATTACTGTGCTCCCTTTATCACTAAGGTTATCAAGTCTGAGGTCTGTGTACCATGTGGAAGAAGAACAAAGTTTGGCAAGTTGTACCTTCGCTGCCAGGACTGCAGGATTGTGACCCATCCAGAGTGTCGTGACTGCTGTCCCCTGCCCTGTAATCCCACAGCTGTTAGCACTCCTATCAAGAATGCAGAGGTACATTTTTTCTCATTGCTTTATGGCACACTGTTTCTCATCATTTTATGTTTAGATTAATCATATGTATTATGTGTGCAGACCACCCTGGCAGACTTTGCTCCAGTCACCTCCCCAATGATCCCAGCTTTGGTTATCTACTGCATTAAGGAGATTGAACACAGAGGCCTACACGAGGTGAGACAGACTTTATTAAGGTCCTTGTTTACTTGTCACCTTCGGGTTATGCTCTGATCCTTCTCCCTTGAGCGATTACAATAGATAATTTCTCTCTAATTAGTTATCTTGTTCAGTAGTACGGTATCACAGGCAGCCAGACAATGAGAGCTGGTTTCTTTTATCTTTTCCTTGCCCCAGGTTGGCCTGTACAGAGTCTCTGGCCAGGAGCGCATGGTGAAAGAGCTGAAGGAGAAGCTGATTAGAGGAAAGACTCTGCCTCCACTTCACAAAGTGGACGACATTAACGTCATTACCGGTGTCCTCAAAGACTTCTTCAGAAACCTCCCAGAGCCACTGCTCACCTTCCACCTCAACAAAGTGTTCATGGAAGCAGCTGGTGAGTTTCTGAGGCTTGTAGAATTACTTGCTGTATCCGCAGTGGCCTTTATCTGTCTAATGTTACGTTGTTTCTTGAAGAACAAGCTTTTTAAATTGAGGGATTCAAGGTGCTTTTAAATGACTGGTGTTAATGTTGTTGTAGAAATCCCGGATGATGGCAACAGTCTCGCCATGCTGTATCAGGCCATCAGTGAGCTGCCTCAACCCAACCGAGACACTCTGGCATGCCTGATGATCCATCTGCAAAAGTAATTTTCTTTACATTTAAGCAGTGCTATAAAGCTTTTTGTTTCATCCTGTCCCTACTCCCATCTGTTCCCATTACCTTCCACCCGTTAGACGGGAGAAGTGTAAGCAACTACTTGTAAGCCAGAGGCACTTTTGTCCAAATTGTATAAGGTTTGAGAGCAAGCACATTGTAACCTCTTAGCCTGCGGCAGTACAGATCAGCTTTCATTTTAGTTAAGACTGTAACATTTTCTACGTCTTTTTTCACAGGGTCTCAGAGTGTGTAGATACCAAGATGGATATGACCAACCTGGCGAGGGTGTTTGGCCCCACTCTTGTAGGTCATGCTGTCCCTGACCCAGACCCTATGACCATCCTGCATGACACAAACAGACAACCAAGGGTAAAGTGAATAAGAGTAAAAGAATATTTGCTCTGACTATACATTACATTCAGAGGGTTAGGGTTTTATAAAGAAGAACATAGTTGGAGTAGATGGATGTGTGTGCTTTTGTTAACTTCCAGATCAGTGTTTCTGTTCTTTAGATTCTGGTTTTAACTACAAATACTGGATTTAATTTATGTCTTTCCAGATTATAGAGCGCCTGCTCAGTATTCCAGCAAACTACTGGGGCCAGTTTGCTTATCCAGATAATGTAGGCATGGATGGTGTTCACAACACTGATACTCCAGACTTCCAAGGTAAATCACTCAAAGGAGATTACCCAGAATAAAAGCTCCTCCAAAATGTATGGCATGAGTATAAGGCGATGTGTTCTGTTCCACTTTGAAGATGTTTGTCCACATGATATCACAGATAAGAGATTAAAACTACTTAAAAATCAAGCATTTGAACTCAGCATCTTTGGTGGACAAATATAAAAAATCCACTGTGTTAAACTAAGAATGTGTTGATCTTTAATTTGTTTGTAGTGAGCATACTGGGACCAGTGACCACTCCAGAGCACCAGATGATGTCCAAAACACCCTCCTCCAGCTCTCTGTCCCAGCGCATGAAGCAGACCCTCTCCAGCACCACCATGTAAGTTCACACACACTAAAAAACAGAAAAAAACAGGTCCACCAGGTCCACATTCTTCAAATTCTTTTTTTTTTTTTCCAAAAAGTATTTACTCAACTCCATTGTATTTTTTTTAGTCAGGTTTAAGTTGAATTTAGGTCCGGGTATTTTAGTCTCAGTCAAAGAAATGGGGTATCTACAGGTCCTTAAAAGTCTTAAAATGTCTCAAATTAAGTTTTCTTAATATAAAGTCTTAAAAAGTCTTAAATTGTCCTTAATTCAGATTTATTGGGTCTTAAATATTTCTGGTCACATTACCGAGAAAATTTCTCCAGCTGGACAGACCCCCAGTCATTGGACAAACGAAGAATTGCAATAATAAATAGCATACTATATGAAAGCGATGAGATTTTGTTTTCTTTTTACATTGAACACGTTAAACTTAAACTCATCCAACTGCTGTCATTTTTCCTTACTGCTCATTTTGAACTGACATCAGTGTGTTTACTTGGAAAGAGTACATACCCATGTAAAAAGTCTTGAATTTAACTTGGTTATATCTGTAGACACCCTGAGAAAACCATAACTATTTTAGTGTTGTTTTAATAAATGAAAACTGTTGACATTTTAGTCATTTTTAGTCATCAGATTACTCATCAGTCATCAGTTACGTTGAGTCCTCCTGACTGTGCTTATTGTGTGCTGCTGGTGTAGTCCTAATATGGCGTGTGCGGCACAAACAAAACTGCTGCATTAAAAAAAAAAAGTCAAATATTTAATCGCCTCTTTATTGTCAACAAAAATTTTAGTCAGGTTTTTAATTTTTAAACTACACTGAAGTCTAATCTCTTGTAGTCAACAGTATTGCATATTGACACAGTCACAGTTAATGTTTAATGAAATCGGTACCGTCTCACCATTATCTCAGCTTAGTCATGGCGAGGTTGTTGAGAACCGTATTTAGTCGTAGTTTTTGTTAACAGAATTAACACTGTTTGGAATTAATGTGTTGTCCTTGGATGAAATTATCTGTCAGTCGTGTGGTCAGTTAAAACTATAACCCCCACTCATGACTGGCTCCTTGTTAACTTGTGAGCTCCTGCACATTGCTGCTGCAAAGGACAGAACATGAAGGAAAATGCTATCTCTCTCTCTTTGTTTTTAAATTCTCAACTCTCTCCTAAAGGTCATTTACAGATTTTCACTTCTAAAGGGGCTTATGAAACCAATTTCATTCCCCAACATTCGTTTTCACAGTTCTGCCTGTTGCATTTGTTAAAATTACTCATATTAAACTTAAAATTTACCCCCCCCCCCCAAAACCCCTGACCCCGCATTTTTAGATTTGGGAACAAGAGCAAAGCATCAGCTGCCTCTAACCGCCAGTGCAACTTCTTCGCCTCTCCACAACTGAAGTAATGGCAGAGAAGAGAAAAATTCACACATACTGTATGTCTGAGTTACTTACTGCAATAACTAAATATATATATACACATAATCAAGTGGGAAAACTACTGTGCAATTTTAGCATGTAACAGTTTATCACTGAGTTTTTTTTATTATTGAAGTATTTTATACAAGACTTTCTAACAACAGTTTTTCTTTGGAAAAGATTCCTGCATGAGTGTTTGAGTTTGTTTTTATATCTTTGATTACTAATGATTTATTACTGACCAAAACTGTTGTGACATCTATGTGATTGTAAATGGTTTGAGGGCTTTGAACAAGCAACTACTCTAAACCAATTCAAGGATCATTCTTCAGCTCTGTGTTTAACGCTTGGGTTTAATGTTTAAAAGCTATGCATTCACTGGTGTTGGTCCATCTTTGAACCTGTGGTTGTAACCACAGCAACAGGGATGCTCAAGCACTGTGAAATACACAGCTGTATCGGATAAAGATGAAAGAAATGTTGTATAGTATCGGCCAGTGTCTCTTTGTCTTTAGCGTTGGTTGCTTTGTCTCTGCCCTGAAACTGGCATCTTTTATGATTTTATATTTTGTTTTATATTTATGTTGATTATGTGCTACGACGTATACGAATCATGACAATTTATATGATCGATACTGCCATGTAAACACTGATACTGAATGGGAATAATGTTGCATTTTGCACTGTATAACAATCGGTATTCTACCTGGGAATATGTGCCACTAGAGGCTGCTGTTGCACCACTTTTGATATGCAAGCCATAACCAATGAAGATGAGACTGTTTATTATGCACAGAACCAGTCAGTATTACTGACACTCATTGCAATCATCAGATCACTGGAAATGCTTAAAGTTATTTCTGTGACCAATTACAGTTCTGTCAGTATTTTCTCTCTCATAAGCCAGAGAGTTGGGACTCACATCTGTACACTCATCACAGATAAAATCTGGAGCTTCTTTATGAATGTGAAAATTTATTTGCATGCACACACACTATTATAGGTTATTGTATCCACAGTAGCTTTCTTGTACAGTGAACAGTCACCATCACCAGAAATACACAAGACATGACACTCCCTCTGAGGAAAATTCCTCTCTGCTGCTTTCATTGTCACCTTTTCACAAGCTCCAAAATTTGGTGTGATGACTACTGATAACATTACTGGTTCATGTGTTAGAGAAGAAATGTTGACTAAAGCTAACTCACAGTATATAGTCATTAAAACCAAATCTAACCATGTTTTGCCTGCCAACTAAGAAATGTGCATTGTTTGAGGTTGTAAGACTCATCGTGTTTTATACATTTTGTGCATTTATTCCATTATATGGTTCTATTTCTCTGATGAAATACTGTCTAACTAATGTTACTTTAGCCAAAGATTTTGTGGACTGAATGTTAACCCTCATATTTCTTTGTCTTAGCTCATATAAGATCACACAAAAGTCCACAGCTGAGCTAAAAATAAAACATCAAAAGACTGGTTCTTTTGTCTTGGTGGGTGTTGTTCATGCATGAGGTGGGCATGTGGGGTGAGGAGCCCTGCTGAAATGAGGCCCTAGAGCATGTGAAGCACACATGTAGAATGTGTGGGTTTTGTTATCAGCTATTCAACCTATAAAAAAAACCTCTCAGACCTGGACATGGATTAGTGTTACCCTATTAACTGAGTATGCTATTAATGTTGAATCCACGCAGCCTAAAACCTTCATGTTTAACACTCTTCATCTTCATTTTGGTGGTAGAAATTGAATGTTGGCCATTGTTATTCAAGATCTTCAGTGAAAGAGCAAAAGCACAGCGTCAGTTATTCCAAAGCCGACGTGGCACTGAATGATAATGCAATTTGGCTCATTGTTCCAATAGTCATTACAGCTATTTCCATAATCTAATGGGCTGAGTGGGCAGGCGATGAGGTCCAACATTATTATGAATTAAAGCAAGGATCATTTATACATCTTATAGTTATTCCATTAACAGTAACTGTGGAGAGTGCTAAGCCAGGCTGAACCCATTGACATACATTTTGTATGGCCTCATTCAATACAGAGCTTCAACAACAGGAGGCCCTTTGAGATCTGAGCCCAGCTGTTTGGGGGAGAAATGAAAATATGGTGTGCAGAGTTCATCCAAATGAGTTCGTGCTTGCTTCCTTCCTTTCTTTCCCACTCGCACACACACACACACACACACACACACACACACACACACACACACACACACAAAGAGCCACGAACGACTGCAGAGAAGACCCTCGGAAAATGTTTGAATTTCAAATCAACATTAATAGTTCATTAGCCTGAAATAAGGTCTCCTGTGTGTCGATCTGTCCTCTCATCGGGGGATTGTGTGTTTATTTATGCTGTACGGTGCAGCATACGCTCGGCGGCTGCAGACATCAAACAGCTGGCTGTGTACAGTGTATCTCTGTAGCTCCATATTCCAGCATACCCCAGTGTGCAGTGATAGAGCTCCACTCTGCTGTGGGACCAGCGAGGGCCAAATGAGTAACTAGTCCAATTAAGAGCTCTTAAATAAATTACAATGTAAGCTGGTAAACACACAACAACAACGGCACTATTTAATTCCCCTATTTATAGAGTGACCTGCAGGCAGTGATGCCAGAGGAACTGTAACAATCTCTGGAAGGCAAATACAATCAATACATTATTCAATTCAAAAGGGTTAGTTATGGCTGTTATTGACTGATTGAAAATACAGTGTATGGGTGTCAAGCTCTTGCTGTGGGTGTCTGCACGTTGGCTGCTCGTGGTCGGGGTCAATAATGTCAGCACCTCAGAGGTGTCAACTCAATAACTGCCAGTCAAATCCACCCGGCTGATCATGTATCTAATCAATACGTTTAAAGCAAAAAGCCATGTTAACCAGTAGACAAACAGTTCCTGCCTGTTTTGTATCTGACTGTATGTACATTTGCCACATAAAACACAGTGTTTTACATATTTTGTCACTTGCTGGGAGGCATTTCTGTGCTCCTGCTGTGCTGTTGTTGAACCTGCTCACTATTTTTGGAAGATTTTACCGCTGGATTAGACCAGGCATCATGAAGATTTGCTTTTGAAATCACATCAAAATAGGCTGAGGAGAAGGAGCTGTTTGTCAGGTTTAGAAAATAAAGTCTAACACTGCACATGTATAAACATGAGGACCAGGACTGATATTCCTTAGCAGGCTAAGCATGTGCTTGAAAAGTGGTCCTCCAGATTTGTTTTTGACACTGTTTTCAGTGAATTATGTGACAGATTGTGTGATCAATATGCTTTCCATTTGGTGAATTAAACATACAACGCTGAAATACCAAACTGTGCTCTGCTCTGGGCCTATAAAAGCCCTGAAAAACAAGACAAGAGTCATTGTCCAATCTACACCCACCTAAAGCCGGGGAGTTTTTTAACTGCAAATAATTGTATGGCTTGTTGGCTTTCAATGCTCTCGCTCTCTCACTCTATCTCTTCTTCCCTCGTTCCTTCTGTTTTTTTCCTCCCCCTCTCCACCCCTCCTTTGAATCGAACCGCCGTCTTAGCCAGCTACCACGCGTGGTCGATACCTTGTTACCACAGAGAAATCAATTATCTCGACCAAGCAGCAGGGGAAAGAGGCAATAATGAAAGAATGCTCCTCCTTCCCAGACGATGGCCGTGGTCATTAAATATGAATTTATCATTGGCTGAGGAGATTTATGGAGCGAGATGTGGGCCCCGAGTTCACGCTCTCTTTACAGCATAAGTTCAAAGTCTGGTAACAAATTAGCGTAAACTAAATGGCTAACAGGTTGGCAGGCTCATGGTGTTGTGTGTCCTAAAGCTTGAACAGGGTGTGATTATTTCAGTCACTGACATCTGGATGCGACTGACACAAAGATGTCGCATTAAACTGTCCCTTAAAAATACCCACACAACCTAGGCATGCCTTTACATGACAAGAATGTCTTCATACATGTGATGACACACCTTTCAGCCAGATAACTGGCCTCTGAGGGGGGATGAGGGACAGTAAAACACTGAAACCGTTCAGCATAGATAGGGTGTAGTGTATACTGTGAGCATGAGATGCTGTCACATGGACAGTGCAGGCTCTTTTCAATTTGATGTCTGAGCATAGCTCACTCAGGTGACAGTGGAAATGACCGACAGGTAGGTGGGCATGCCAGCCATACCTGCCTATTTGGGTCTGTAATGAGCTGCTCTGATGACTTGTCTGACAGCTGCTGGTAGAAGTGGGAAAAAAGCCCCCACACCACTACCATCACCACAGCCGGAAAAAAGAAGAAGTGCAAATGAGTGAGAGAAAGAGGGAGGACAGAGCATAGAGGGAAAAATGTGTAATTCGGGCTTGCTCTTAAGGCAGCAATAAATTCCATTTTAATGGGGCACCACAAGCAGTAGCAGGCACTCAGCAGTCTGTTGTGTTTGATGCCAAATTGTGCAGAATAAACAGATTTGCTGTGCAGCTGGTCCAAACACACACTTTCTCTCCCTGACTCCCTCTCTGTCTCTTCTCATCCCCCACCACACACACCATCTCCTCACTCTCCCGTCCCCTCCCTGGACATACCAGAGAAGAATTAGACAAATCATCACAAAAAAGATGGCAAGTGCTTTGATTTATTTTCTTCCACTTAACTGAGTACTCATCTCCAGCTGTCATCCACAAAGTCAAGGCAGAGTATTTGTTTTAACAGGGAAAAGAGTGAGCTGCATGTCACTAATGAGGAACAACATGCCGCATCTGGCTCATTTCTCTCTAAGAAGATAATTCTTTGGTCGTCGCGCACAAGTTCATTGTAGACAAAACTGCGCACAATGTTTGAAGCTTCTGTATTCAGAAAAAAAAAAACACGGCACATTGACCATACTGTGGATGATGTCATGCAAAAATAGGATGTTGCTGGCTGTCGAGAATCTCAAACTAACTCCTTTAATAGTAGCCTTCTACAGTAATTACCTCTGACAGTGCAAAGGCAATGCTGACTGTATGTGAGGTTAAGGAAAGTTTGACTGTGTGTATGGTGATGTTCTTTAAGTTGTGGCAATGTCAGTGTAAATGTTAATATGAAATCAGAGCAGCAGTCTGTCTGATGTATTAATAAGACTCCAAAAAAGCAGCATTGTGAGGTTGTGCTCAGGCGTAACGGTGTTTTGAGCAAAATGGTAATTTAAAGGAGAAGTCCGGTATTTTGCACGTTGAGCCCCATTTCTGGGTTGTTTACGATGAAATAGAGTGGCTAAGACCAACATTTTGACAATTGCTCCTTTTCTGCTGCCTATGGCCATGTGTGAATCTGTCCTAAAACCACCCTTAACATTAATTTTCAAAGCCATGAAACTCACCAAGTGGTCAGTGGTGTTCGTTGATGTTCTGACATAAAAATCGTAGAAAACTCAGCCTAACTCGGTGAGTTTCATGGCTTTGAAAACAAACGTTTAGGATGGTTTTAGGACAGATTCACACATAGCCATAAGCAGCAGTGTTAAGCCAGGCAGGGGAAAGCCAAATTCTCCGAAAATGAGCAATCATCACTATTTTGGTCTTAGCCACTCTTTCATCATAAACAACCCAGAAATGGGACTCAAAGTGCGAAATACTGGACTTCTCCTTTAAGCTTGCTAACAATGACAATGCTAACATGCTTATATTAAGCATGCATAGTGTTTATCATGTTCACCATGGCAGTTTTGCATGTTTGCTAAGTAGTATAAACTGACGGTACAGCTGAAGACAATGGGAATGTCAGGTATTGAGAATTAAAATTTTGACTTAGTGGTTGCGCTATATAGAAAGTTAAGGGATCACCCAAGTTATTACAACTTACTCTGAAGGGAACATGAATGTGTGTACTAATTTTTATTGCAGTCCATCCAATAGTTGAGACATTTCACAGAGTCTGGTGAGGGAATCCAGAGGATCCTTCCTCTGGGAACCTTACCAGTTCACCATTAGATGTTGATTTTCAAGTGGTGCAAATGACAATACATCCACTCAAGAGATTTCACTAAAAAGCAAAACTAGAGGAAAGGTCAGGGGATCACCCTGTTAGCAGTCTTGGAACATGACGGCCGTCGGTCTGACAGGGATTTAGCTTCTGGGGGCAACAGCCGATATTTCAGGGGTTCTGGTGAATTCAACAGATATCTGAATAGCAGATGTCCTCTTCAATGTGCTGGTCAGTGTTTACAGTCAGATTAGAAACTTGAGATGTGAGAATGGAGTTGGAGTTGATTGTGCACTAATTTTTATGAAAAGATATCTACATATGAATGCAGATAATTCTAAAAAAAAAAAAGTAATAAAAAGCTAAATCGTTATCAGACAATCGTCAGTGGGTTCTGGTATTGCAAGTTGGCCAAAGTGTTCCGCCTATTCTGCTCTCCACCAACGCCACCAACGCCTGCTCAAACATAATTGCTCAATACTACTCAGACTAGAAACACACACCAGAATGCTTCCATAACCTAAATTGTC